CCTTCCTGCGTAAACACGAGCTCTCTCTGTGTTCCGGATCATCGTTCTTTTCTCCTTTTCTCTCGAGCGTTTCTCCACGCCCGCGGGCGTATATATCAGCAGTTAAAAGCACGGACGTCAACCTTGGCAAAGGGTGCAGTCTCGCCCTTTCCCCCCGAGGACTAACTATATTTCCCCGCTCGTTACCGAACGGCACCCTTCGCGCGTCGCTGCGTATAATTCCGAATGCGCGTCTGATAAAATTTGCATGTACCTATGTAAAGGAGAGGCGTCGGCTTGCGCGTCGGCTTTCTTGGAGTTTCATACAGAGTCGCTTCTTCTTCAAGGTTATTTGCATAATCTCGAGCCGCCACGAACGTACCGATTTAGCGTCGGGTAATTGAATGGGACCTCGCGAGAACACCGCCGCCGCTGCTGGTGTCACCTGTCACTATTTCGCACTTAGAAAAAGATTTGTGTTGTCACAACAAATGAACGTTTGCTGTTTGACAGTTGCACGGGAAGCAAATCAGACAGTCACCGCAACAAATCATTTTTCATGATTTGTAATTTCAACAAATATATTAAGTTGGTGCAAAAATAATTGAAGTTTTTACGCATCGAGTATAAAGATATCAGTTAAAAATATTTATTACCACAGTTAAAAGTATTTATTATATTTATTATATTTATTAATCAAAATAAAGACCATCGGCCTGCACACATTTCTCCTAATGGGAAACAAGTTTGTTTATCCCTACAAGATAGAATTGTGGAAAAGATAATGGTAATTAGAAAAATCGGTGCTAAACTTAAAATGATAATAAAAAAAAAATTATTTTTATACCAACCTAATATATTGCTGAAAATGCAATACATTCGTTTCCATCATAAAATTGTTAGTTGGAGCAACAAATCATGAGTAACAAATCATTTGTTACCACAACGGGGTCATTTGTTGTCTCGCATTGACAAATCATTTGTTGCGGTTACTGGTGTTTTGTTAACCCAACAAAATACTTTTTTCCGTGTATGGGGGCGAATGCGAAAGTACATGGGGCTAGATAAGTTTTGCAATACGCTAATTATTATTTTCACCGCAGTTCCTTAAAATTGGCATCAATGAATAATATACTTCGATAGAAAGATACGTGCCAAGTTTGATTAGTCTGAGTCGAAAGATTCATCTGCTGCGCACGTTTGAGTGTTGCGAGTATGGCGACTTGGTCCAAGAACAAAATTCGAACAATTTTAGAGTACAATTTTGTGAGGGAATTATCAATCGATGAGTGCATGGACGAGTTGAAAAATGTGGTGGCCGATGATCGTCTTCAGGGAACAACCGTGTTTCATTGTTGGTATTGAAAGTTTCGACGCGGAAATTTCTCTACTGATGACGTGTCGCGTTCAGGCAGTCTGTCTGATGTGGTGACTCCAGGTGTCGTCGAAAGAGTAAAAAATATTATTACCGAAAACAGACGACTGACTGATCGACAGATTGAGGAAACATTGACGATTGGTGCACCAAGTGTTCATAAAATTTTATATGAGCATTTAAAAGTACGTAAAGTTTGGACACTTTGGGTCTTTCATTCGCTCATAGCGGAGCAAATGGCACGTAGAGTGACTTGGCAGAAAATGCTAAAAGTCTACGAGAACAGAAGTCAACCTGAACAACCTTGTTACGAGTGACGAAACCTGACTGCGTTACTACGACGTAAGAATAAAGCATAATAACCGAGTGTGGTTGTTTAAAAATAAAGAAACGCCAATGGAGGTACGAAAATCGCGATCGGAAGATACGAAAGAAGATGATCGCTATATTTTAATTAGGGGTATTTTAACGCACATTGTCTTTGACAGTCAACATACAGTTTCTCGGTACGTGGAAGAATGCCTAATTCAAATGGTTCAGAAGCTGAAAGCACTCCGTCCGCGTTCGAGAATGAATACCTGGCATTTTCAGCACGACAATGCTAGACCACATTCGGCGCGATTAACGCGAGACTTTTTGGCAAACTCCGGCTTGAAAGTGCTCGAGCATTATTCCTACAGTCCTGATCTAGCACCCTGTGACTTTGGTTTGTTCCAGTTAGTGAAAGAAAAATTAAAAGGATGGAAGTTTAGCAGCGATGAAGAGCTTTTAGCAACATGCGACCAGGCATGTGCAGATCTACCGGAAGAAAAGTGGCAGCAAATTTTTACCGATTGGCTTACTGGTATGAAGAAGTGTAAAGCTTGTAACGGAGATTATTTTGAACGAAAATAAATAAAGAAGGCTGTATTGCAAAACTTATGTAGTGACTTGTGCACAAGAAGCCGACAACCTCATTCCGCGACGGCGAAGGGCGAATTTGTTCGTTGCTGTGGGCGAATCGGCGGAAAAAATCCGAAGGAATGACGACGTTCACGAATCGAGGCAGCAGGACGATCGTCGCCGGCGCGGCGGCGGGAACAGAGGTCGATCGACGCGAGACTCACTCATTCATTGTCAACGTCGTCGTCATCGTCCTCGTCGTCGCCCCGGCGTGGACTGATACAGTCATTCGCACGCGCGTAATAATTAATTTACGGCGTGCGCGGGCGACGTAGTAACGCGGAGGAAGGGAGTTTCATAATTCAGTGGCGACACGTACGAGTTTACGCGCTCGGGCACGTGTCTAGCGGCGCTCGTCATCGTCGCTGCGGTACGCAGTTTGCATTCGTCGGGGCTGTTTCGAGCGGCAAAGCACGGCGCGGCTCGGCGCAACGCGACGCGACGCGACGCGACGCGGAGCGACGAGGCGACGCGACGGCGGCTTGCCAGACAACTCGGTTATAACGATTGAAGTTTCGTCGTGGCGTGGATTACATCCTCGTAATTGCGCGCACACCTCGAGCGCCTCCGTCTTGCAAGGACGACAGAGGGAGAGAAAGTGGGAGGGGGAGAGAGAGAGAGAGAGAGAGAGAGAGAGAGAGAGAAGGAAAACGAGAGAAGATGAGAGGGGAGACGTCGGAGGGGGTTCCTTTAAATCGCATGTAAAACGAGGAGGTTTGAGGGGGGTGGAAGTACTCGGCGGGTGCAAGGAGGCGTGGAAGCGGAGAGGTGCGCGGGAGGGAGAGGTTCTTGCACTTATACCAACGCCTCGTGGCTTGACGTACGACAAAAGTCCCCGAAGCAGTCGTGACTCGCGATCCTCACTCGTCCCCGATCCCGCGCCACGTCTCTCTGTGTCGACTCCTCCCCCGGGAATTATAACGCGATAACGCGCCGCGTGCTCGCTGATAAGCGTCGAGAGTGCATAGTTAGCGCGAGGCGCTTTGTCGCGGAGGAGGATTATTTCGCGGCTCGGCCGGCAAAGTATGTCGCAAATCGAGCGTTTCGATGACATCAGCCCGGCTCGTGTAAGTGCATCCGCTCCTTCCCCCCCCCCTACCTTTTGCGCCGCTTCGCCACGCCGGCCGTGCGAGATTAGCTTTGCGCATGTTCTCGGAGCGAATATTTTGCACGTATTTTCGTACAATTTACATTCCGGCATTCTAAAATCGAGAGTCGTCCTCTCTCGAACTCGTCGGTATTACCGATAAATTCCGCGCAGCGTGTAATTCAAAAAATTGTATTATTCAAAGCTTTGTTATTATCAAAGCATATTAATCGAGTTAACGAGACGCGCGTAACGAGAGTGCAATTCTTCAATATGTAATGAACGTAAACCACCGCCGAGAGAGAGAGAGAGAGAGAGAGAGAGGGGGGGGGAGAGGGCGAGAAGTGGCCGGATTACACGGTGCGAATTTATTTTCTTTATTTCCGTTCGCATTCACACGTAACTCACACGTGTGTAACATGCAACGCGTGCGCGACATCGTCGCGTATCGCGACGGGTGATAATAACGCCGCCGACTGTTAGCTATGATATTTAACGCCACCGAGTGCCGTTAATTAACGAATAACCTGTGACACACACTGGCATCCGCGCTGGCGTTACCGGCAGGTTGCGCGCGGCCATAATACGTTAGCGGCGTCGGGCTAAGGTATAGCGTACAAGCGCGAGACACTTGAGATTTAAGGAGCCGCCACGCATTATCCGACTGCCTCGCGCGCTACTAGTATAGCTGTTGCATCGCGTAGTTTACTGATTCGCGGCGGCGCTGGCGAAGAGAGGAAAGAAAGGACGGGAGCGAGCGAGCCGTTACGAAGCGAAAGTTTAATAAGTCGGCGCCGGGATCGCGCGTTCTTCCGAACGCGGCAACACAATTAATCCCGGAGAATTAAGCACTCGCGGGACAGAGAGATGGAGCTTGTTTTCATTAATCTCATGCTTTTATTTACCGTACGTCCGCCAGCAGTCGCCGCTATACAGCCGGCTATTTCAAATATTGTCTCCGCCGCGCCGGTCCGGCGCGGCGTGTACGCGGCGCGCGCGACGAGGGAAACAAAGCACGCTATATGTCATCGGCCGGATTCGCTCCGCCGTTATCAACGCCGCGCGCGTCGGACGAGAGAGCCGCATTCGGCGATGCCGTATTATATTAATGGAAAAAAATACCGCGCTCTCTTCGCGGTGCACCGCGTATTACGGTGTCTCGCGAGGGGGGGAGGGGGAATAATTGAAGTCAGAAATATAATTACAACCTCGGCCCGTCGCCCCGCTCCGCGCCGCACCCCGTCTGCCCTCCCCCTCAAGTCATTATCGCGAAATTCGCAAATGCGTTAATTAAAATTCGCGCGGCCAATTGTGAAAAATCCGACGAGTCGAGGCGCGATGTTCGCATATGAATGATTCCGCTCTATTATTCGAGGACGAATAATCCGCGATAAAAAGAAAGGGGAAATTACGACGCGCGCTCGCGTCAAGCGCTTTTGTTTAAATACGAATTTTCGGCCGTGGTATAAGAAGTGGGGGGAGATTCACGTTCGCTGTGAGAGGTAGATTAAAAGGGCGTCGCCCTTGAAAGGAGATAATAAAGTGCGCGAACCTCGACTCGCTGCGCTAGCCGTGACTGAATGAACGCTAACCCCAAATCATCTGTTTCTCCTCCAGACAGGTATGCTGACGATTGTCGAGCCCCCCGACATCATCCCCGAAGGTACTTCCAGCGATATGAACGTGGGCGAAGGTGGCCAGGTAAATACTTTTCCTTTAATTAGTCGCCTCGCTACTATTCTCGCTCCGTTTGGCAAGAAGCGACACAGCATCGTCGGTTGCAATAATGAACGAGAGTCGCGACCTTTTAACGAGGGAAAAAAGAGCTTCAGACGGTCGCACCTTGAAGCGTCACATGAGCTTCCGTCAAGGGTCGTTTCCGATGCCGGTTAATTAACCGCCTTCGACTCAGCGTCGAAGTATTCCGCAGTACGCGAGTGCGCGCGCACGCGCATGCACGGAAATAAATTTGCGAGTAAATATGCCAGAAAGAGGGATGCGTTATGGCACGCTGCTAGGCCGGAGGTCGTTAAATAATTTACCCCGTGCAGGAGCAGTCGTGAATAAACGACGGTTTATTACTTACAAATGTGGGCTGATTTACGCGTGTAGTAAATCATCAGGGCAACGTTATACCGCGTGATTCATGTCGGAGAAATCTATATATCGGAGAGCGGCAATACGGCACCGCGAGTGCCGCAACGGTATCCGCGGGCGAGCCCGCAAATAACTCGCAACTTCGCCTATTCGTCGTCATTAACGCCTTAAGCGCGGGCTCGGCCTCGCCGCTCGCGCCGGCCGAACGCCGTGCAACCGGCGCCTTAAACCGGCCGAGTCGGATTAAAACGCCGTCAGTGGCTTCGACACGGACCATCGGTGCGCGCGTTATCAAGGTCGCCGATCGATCGGCCGACTCAAAAAGACACGGGCGCTATTTAAACTAACGGAACAAGTGCAAACGTAATATCGCGGCGCGCTTCATGACGTGTGTGTAAGCGATAGCATGACTGCAATTTGCGACACCTGTTGCGAGAGCCATTTTAACGCGCGCTCCGCGCTATGTCACGGGATTCCCTTCCTCGCTGTTGTATATATATATATATCCGGTCCTCCCATTATTTAGAAACTTCAATCGCCGGGCGCCGTAATTTCGCGTAATCCCAGACAGATCGAAAGAATACAGTCGGGCGGAAGGGCGCGCGCGCGCGCGATCGATTCCCCGGCCAAGTACTCGCGAGTGATTCGCTCGATCCGGTAATTCCTCGCTTTGCGTAATTGCGCGAAGACGCCGAGGCGCCGGCGGCGGGGTCTTTGCGATCGCGGCGCACGCAATCCGGGCGCAACGCACGCAGCCAGCCGGCCAGCTGGCTTCGGCGCTTCGCACTGGATGTCGTAAGTAAGCCATCAGTTAAAATAAGTGACCTGTTGCTCACAATTCATATTCCGTGGCAGCCGTGCAATTTGCGCGAATACCCGTGCGTCTCATCCTCGCGCGTTTTTCCGGTGTCGCTCCGGTGAGCAAAGAATATTGCGCTACTCCCTCAGAATGTCTGACAGGACGCTTTTACGAAGACGCGACAGCCCCGCACAGCCCCGCCGTCACGCGTGGAGCGTTTTAAACTTTGAAATTATACCGGCGCGAGCGGACTACAGCGGCCCTCCTCTTATTATGCGCCCGCCGCGCGCGGTCGGTACACTCGAAAATTGCACCGCCGTCCGTTTGTCCAAGTTAGCTCCTCGCCTCCGACAACGACATCGTCGCGTGTCCGACTATCGCGCGTAATTCGTCACGACGGAATTACGTACGGTGAATATGCGACGCGCGACAGGCGCGATGTACTCGCTGGGGGATGAAACTATACACCACCGCCTGCTTTGATTTTTCTGGCCGGCTTGTTTCCGCGCGGGTGATTTCCTTATCAACGTGCGCCGCACACATGCCGGTTAAATGTAACGTCAAGCGTAACCTTTTAAAATGTTGCGTTTCGTTGATATCATGCATGCGCGAGTGAAGAATATTAGGAAACGCATTGACAAAAAATAAACGCCTCGGCCTGCAACGCGACGCATTATTCGCGTTAATTCGTCGAGTGTATCACGTCGCACAACACGCGTAATCATCTTTAATTTCGCGGACTTAATATAACACGTACTACAGGCAGCAGCAACGGATTTCCAACATGACTGTCAGCCGACGCGCCGCGAACGTCGGAAAAAGGGGTAAAAAATATTCTAGAATCCCGCCGCACGCCCGACGCACCAGATAAAGTTGATAAAAAATTGAAATTTCAATCGCGTTTCGGGTTCGTGAATTCGTCTCCTGTCGGCGCGCCGTCCGGCTCTATCCGGATAAATAAGTAATTTTGTCGGACGATAACTGTTGTTATTAACGACCCGCCTCTCTCGTGTGCTCGCGGGAAAATCTGAAGCTTGCAAATTTTCCACGATGCGTCGTCCTCTCTCCCTCTCTAACTCATCCTCTCTCTCTCTCTCTCTCTCTCTCTCTCTCTCTCTCTCTCTCTCTCTCTCTCTCTCTCTCTCTCTCTCTCTCTCTCTCTTTTTCCGCTGCGCGAAGCGACGCGACGCGCTTTTTCCCGTTCCGGTCCGAATGAATTTCGATACGCGGGGATTACAACTTTCAAACTCGTTTCCTCCGAGCAATAGGATGTCGCGCGTTTAGGATATTTGTTCCCTCCCCCCCTCCAGCCCTCCAACCGCAGCGTCGAGATTCGAAATTGATAAGACCCGCGGCGAGAACGCGGGAGACACTCCCTTCACTCGCGTAAACTTTTTCGTAATTCTAGAGATAACAGCCGCCGAAAGCGTCGTCGTCGCCATCGGCGTCGCCTCGGAGTTCACTGCGTTACTGCGGCGATGAATATACGAATAACGCGCATCACGTCGACGGTGCGACGATATAATAAACCTGAAGCGCTGATGAAAACGCTACATTACGAGGCAGCTAAAAACGCCTCGTCGAATTAATTCTTTTTTCTCTTTTTTTCCACTAGCTCCGTAGGTAATGTAATTTACACACGTACGTGCGAGCATTACATGTGCACGCGGCATGCGATGTGGTAACTTATGTTACACCTCGGTAACGCGATGTTCATCTAAAAACGTCACAGATATTGCGAGCTAGCAGGCGACCGCGCGTCAGTAGAGTGTAAGCCAACAAACAGCGCACTATGCCGCGACACGTGTCGTGTCGTTAATTGTCAACATGCCGTTTATATTTTCCATTGTGGAACACGCGGATATTCATTTCGCGCGCGCGAGTTTCCCAACTCGCAGCTCTGCTATTGCCGTTCGATTCGAATATCCATAACTCCGTAACAGATGAGGATCGAACCGATATTCATAATTGATGGGAACAGGGAGGTGACGACAAATTTTGAGGTTCGAGTTGACGCGCGGCCGTTCTGCGAATGGCCGCGGATAACCGTTCGATCGTGTTAAAGAGGAGCAAGCGATTTGGCAAGATCGTCCGATCGAATTGTCAAACGTCAAATCCGAGAAATTCGAAGAGCAGCGTGGGCGCCCGCGCGGTAAAAACTGGCCGCGCGCGCGCGCGCGCGAACGTAGCGGAAGGACGCAAGTAGCCGTTAAAAATTCCTCGGTACCCCGGATGTTTCATGCCTCTCGCAACCATAGATTCGTTTTCCGCTCGAGTATACGCGCGAGCGAGCGACCATTGTTCCGGACAAGCGTGCTCGCGCGCGTACGTGTTTTACATAGCGTCGCAGGCAGAGGGTCGCGCGCTCGCGCCCATTTCTCCCCCTCTCCCTTTGCCACGCTCCTTTATTCCCCCCCAAATATATTTGGATGAAGCACGGCATTAGTGGAGTGCAATAACGAACTCGCTTCTCTTTATAATTCCGGTTTCATAACACGTACAGGTGAAGTTAACGTGCCGGGCGAGAGGCGTACCCGCGCCGCGCGTATCCTGGCGCCGGGAAGACGGCAAGAACATTATAATTCGGGAGCAGTCTGCAGTAAGCGGCCAGAACCAGAAGTCTCACGGTAAGATTTAATATAGATGGTACGCCCATACGCGCGCCGCGCCGCGCCACGCCGCGCCGCGTCACGCTGTTCCGCCGATATAGCGCGGAATATACAATTATGTTTTCCTTAGACGCACTCTCACGCGCACGATCCCGCCGCTATTCAAATCTCCTCATTACGGGAGGCGCGCTTACAGATCTTAAAGACAAATTCCGCAGAGAGAGACCGATTCCGCTGATGCTTCCTGGGATGATGCCGTCCGCCGCGACTTCTGAATAGCCGGCCCTCATACCGCGGGATCGTTCAGCGTAATGTCGAATTTCATCGCGTCTAATATCGGGCCAATTATAGAACGCGAGCGAGCGATGCGCGCGCATTTGCCCTCGTCGGCAATTCTCCCGTAATTTATGAGGAGCCAGTAGCGGATTCATTTAAAATAGAAAATCGTGCTTCGCCGGGAGTTATCTCCAGCGACGTGCCATGGACTGACTCTCCCGTACGATCCCGCTGATCCCACGATCGATTTTTCTCTCCAATTAGTTCAATGACATCAGTCTGAAGCTTCCTCCCCCCCTCTCTCTCTCTCTCTCTCTCTCTCTCTCTCTCCCTCCCTCCCCTCTCTCCCCCCTCTCTCCCTCTCTCTCCCCCCTCTATCTCTCTCCCTCTTTCTCTCTCTCTTTCTCCCTCTCTCTCTCCCTCTCTCTCTCCCTCTCTCTCTCTCTCTCTCTCTCTCTCTCTCTCTCTCTCTCTCTCTCTCTCTCTCTCTCTCTCTCTTCTCCCTCTCTCTCTCTCTCTCTCTCTCTTTCTCTCTCTCTCTCTCTCTCTCTCTCTCTCTCTCTCTCTCTCTCTCTCTCTCGATCGTTCACACTCCACTTTGCCCGCGCGAGATCGGTTTCGAGGAAGACCTTCCGTCGGGCAGACACATCCTCCGCAGTTGCTCGCGCCGGTATCGGGGAAATTCGAGACGGGCGAGAACGGCGAAGCGAATTAAAATCGTCGCTTGTTCTCTGACGGAAAGCCGGAAAGGCGGAACATCCGGACGCAGACCGAGGGGACGGCGCTTGTGGGTCGAGCGAGAGCGCCGTTCCTTCGTCCTCCTCGCTGTCGGCTCCCGGCTAAACGACGTATTTAGTATTCACTTGAGCGTGGCGTTGCTAATAGCGGGCAAATTTCACCGTACTGTCGGCGCGCGGTCCAGGGTAAGGATGCGCGCCGCTGCAACCGGTGCACACGACACATGCCGGGCGCGGCCCTGCACCTTCAGATGGCTCAGAGTCGGCTTATTGTCGGCGCTACAATCGCGGTGATTATCAGAGATACGTCGGAAAAGTTCGCGCCTTGGTCGCGCACGGCGGTACAATTAACGTCGCGCGGCCGTTTCGCGCTGAAGCGCCCGGCGGGAAGAATAAGCGCGGGCGAAGGGAGACGAGAAGGCGAGATAAGAGAAAGAGCGCGCGCATGGCGATAATGAGGATGAAATTTTCACATTCAATCTCGCCCTGTAGATATCGTATTAGATTTAAATCCCGTAGAAATCCACGTCTCGTTAATTTTTCCCGACTACTAAACATTTCGAATGAATGCCATCCAGCCGAGGAGACATTTCTGAAAAAAGAAAAACAAAACAGAAACTTTATCCGCGTTCGTTTCCGGTTCTCTCAGTCGTGCTTAATCGATCTTGATTAATTAATTACTCTCGTTTGATTTTTCGCTAGGATTATTTCGAGTTTTTATTAATATCCTTGGGCGCGTAAGCGCGAGCAACAACCAAAGTGTTATCGCTGAGAGAGAGAGAGAGAGAGAGAGCAGTTTGTGCTGGCTCGCGAGATAGTCGCGAGATTCGAGTCGAGACTTTATGATATTTCGGTTTAGAGATTCCGCAGCGTGTGGTGTTAAAGCGCAAGCAAAACACCGGCGCTCGCTCGTTGGTGCCGCGTAATTAATTCGCCAGGCGGAAAACACGAACGTGTGTCTCAAGACCTTCGGGAAAATCGATGTTTTTGCGAGCTGAATTGCGACGCGAGCGTAACGAGGCCGCAGGTGAGGAGGGCTCGTGCGTTTGCTCACGGCGCCCTACGGTAAGGAACAGATGCAGGTGCAACAAATTGCGCTCGTCTTATCCGCGTGCGCGCGCGCCACTTCGTTGCTTGCATCTGAATATGCTCGTGAGAACGATATACGTTGGCCCTAACGAATGACCTGAGCCGGCATTTTAGTTCTACATTAACCTTACAAATTTTGCTTGAATTTGAAGAATCAACGAAGAGTCTCGAGACATCCCGCGAGCTGAAATTTTGCTTCTATATTAATCCGTCGCGCTTGAAGGACCGGCTCGGAATATCGCGATCTAACTATAGCGACTTAATACAAACTGCATCTAACTATAGTAACAAGCTATATTGTACCACCTTGATTCTGCATATGGTCATTTACCGCTGTATTCTCTATGTTGAGGTTTAAACAATGAAATTCATTCGAGAACGATCCGAATTATCCGATTATCTCTGCATTTAATCGTTATGTTGTACGTTTCTTATTATATGTGGTACAGATTGACAAGCAATCAAAGATTTATAAAGTTAAAATTATTTATCAAAAAATATCGCTATGGGTGTTAGCCTAAATTTCGAGTCTAGTGCCTCATCATTCTCCAAGTTCGCCAAACGGCATAATAAATGATTTGACATATCTAGAAATACATGACGTATCGCTTGCCCATGTCTCGGCATTATGCGTCCTTTGTCCTGGCTTCCAGCTGCTTCGTCGAGGCACTTCGGATATTCACTCGCGACACCGACGCTCGCGGCACTGCGATTTAATCGAAAGTTAGGTTAGGGTTAACACGTCTTAACTAACGCGATGCCGATGAGAACCCGATGGAGTATCTCAAGAAACCCAGCAGGATATTCGATTTACCTGACGAGAATTGTAACCAACACAACACGACACATACGCCACGTCGCGATGCGATACATGTTATTCATTTCTCACTTGCTCGTAATAATTCGATCGAATAATTGTATATAATTATATATGAATTTTCTCTCTTTATGACCATATATAGGATGTCCCATTTTAACTGAACCAAGCAAAAATCTCGAAAAATATGAAAGATACTAAGAAACGTTTCGGACAAATATTGTATGATTTCAAAGAGAACATGAAACAACTTTATATTGTTATCATTTTGTTTACAGACTTTCGATATATACTGATTACTTTTCTTAAATGGGAATCTCAATTTTATATTATATCATCTTCTATCAATTAATTTGAACAACTTTTGTCTGAAACACTTTTTTATTTATCTAATATTTTTGGAGATATTTATGAAAAACTTTGTAATTTTTTCAACATTTAACTTACGATATTTCACTAACTATTTGTCGAAAGAAAAAATAGTATTAGACCTTTGTATTCTATTTAGTCTCAAGAATATATTGGGTTGGCAAGAAAGTAATTTCGGTTTGCGCCAATAGATAGCGTTATGTTTGTGTCGTTATTCTTCTGTCAATGTTATAATTTTTTTCTTTTCAGATTTGGTAGTTGACACTCTTAGGTTACTATAGAAACAAATTCCGTGTAATTTTGTTTACAACTGTTGGTTTACGGTCGATTTTAACATGAAGTGCAAAAATGATCATTTTCGACATATCATATTTTACTTTTTTATTTTCGTAAAGGCAAGGAAGCGGCTGAGGCTCATAAAGAGATATGTGAAGTTTATGGTGTTGGTTGCATAACAGAACGCACGTGTCAGAATTGGTTTAAAAAATTTTGTGGAGATTTTTCACTTAAAGATGACCAACGTTCTGACCGACCTTCTGAAGTTGATGAAGACAAAATGAAAGCCATAATTGAATCAAATCATCATATAACTGTGCGAGAGATTGCAAAAAGGTTAAATGTGTCACACAGAACAATTGAAAATCACATAAGACGTCTTGGACTCGGTAAGAAGCTGGATATTTGGGTTCTGCACGAATTGAAAAAAATTCACTTGACACACCGGATCAATATTTGCGATACGCATTTCAAACGTAATGCAATCGATCCTTTTTTGAAGCGAATTATCACTGGTGATGAAAAATGGATCGTCTACAACATTAATCGAAAAAGATCATGGTCCAAGCATGATGAATCGACACAAACCGTATCGAAAGCTGAATTGCATCAAAAAAAGATCATGCTGTCAATTTGGTCGGATTACAAAGGTGTTGTGTATTTTGAGATGCTTCCAAGCAACCAAACGATCAACTCGGATGTTTACTGCCAACAACTTATGAAATTGGAGGAAGCAATCAAAGAGAAAAGGCCAGAATTGGCAAATCGTAAAGGAATCGTGTTCCACTACGACAATGCGAGGCCCCATACATCTTTAGCAACACGTACGAAATTATTGGAGCTTGGTTGGGAAGTGATGTCGCATCCTCCATATAACCCCGTTCTTGCACCATCGGATTATCATTTATTTCGAAGTTTACAAAACTTTTTAAACGGTAAAAATTTCAACAACAACGATGATCTCAAATCGCACTTGGTTGAGTTTTTTGCTGATAAGGACCAGCAGTTCTATGAGCGCGGAATCATGAAGCTACCAGAAAGATGGAAAAAGGTCATCGAACAGGATGGAAAATGTTTGACCGATTAAAGTTCATTTTTTGTATAGAAAAAATTGAGTTTTATTTCACACTAAAAAACCGAAATTACTTTCTTGCCAACCCAATACATGTGTTACAATAGCGCGCCCTAACTTTTGTTAACTTAGTATCTTTTATATTTTTTGAGATTTTTGCTTGGTTGATTTAAAATGAGATATCTTTTATAATTATATATGTTTGCATTGACAAAGATGCTGTTGTACAAATACAGTTAAAATAACTAATATCTATGATTATTTATAATTGAATGAATTTTCTTGATTTAATAGCGTTCTTTTTCAGCATGGACACATAAAGAACTTGATATGATTATATAGATGATCATATAGAGACAAAATTTAGATATGCGAATCACAT